TATATCCGTTAACATGGTTATGGAATGCTATGGAACATCATTATTACTGAATACTGTAGGTACTTCATCTATAAATTGTCCATGTTTCATAGCTATGTTACATTGCCAGAGGGTAATCTATGTTTGTTTCTTCACACCCGATGCAAATTTGCTCTCTTTGCTGCCCCCCTCACCCTTCAACAGCCCTGGACTTTCCTATCCATGTTCAATGATGATCTTCCGCTTATAGTTGTTGAGCTCCCAAGGCTTATTGATTATTGTCCCCATGTCTGCTATGTAAGTTGATATCACCATACCGTAACTGGTTTGCATCCTCTCACTACTATGGTCATGTTTCTGACAATTGTGTTTCTTTGTGAGCGTACCTGAAACCATCATGGTTCAGCGAAATTGCTGACTCATTTGCTCAATAATTTCTGAACATGTGCAGTGTTCCCTCCCATGATTCTTGTAATAAATAGATTATGTAAATTTAATAAATCCCCGATTCATGGCTTTCCGTACAAACACCTTCAACAAACTATAGATTATTATAGATTATTTGGTTTGATATCATTGGATACTCACAAACATCCCATTGGTCCGTTGGTGCTTTGGCGGGAGAAAACCAATCCTACACGTCCCTCACAACAAGTCGCGACTTGAGAGGACTACAATGACGGACGGACTGTTTATGTTTATCAGCGCGGGAGTCAATTAAAAAAGCCTGCCTCTATGTCTAATTATTGGTTCATAATAAGAAATACCTTGAAAATTCACCATACAATCAGATTTAGATGTTTTTTTCATGTTTTTTTTTCTGTGCAAACACATTTTTCACCAATCATGACCCAATCTTCTGAAGCAAAACTTGGCGCCGGGCCCACTCAGGTGGTAGGGCCCCCTGTAGAATCACCGGCCTTGGTGCCCGGATGTGCCAGGTGCCTTTTACGGACTGAAACAAAAACAACATTTGAATCACCCGTAATTATACGTATATATATATATATAACATTATGCTTGAAAAACCATGAATTTTGGCAGAATTGTTCAGTGTCATCCATTCAAATCCAATGTTTGTTTGGTCTGTTTCTCCCCTAGTCGCCGTCAAAAACAGCAGGAGGCTGTCGCCTCTCCTCAACTGAGATGCCCAACGTATTGGTGGCGACATACTCTGTGACCTCAGCGATATCTTGATCACGGCCAGGCCCAACTAAGTCAGATACGAGTACCCTGCATTCGAACATGGGGATATCATGAGAAGGATCAAGAAACATAGGAATACTATGGGGATATCATAGGCTAGAGGGAAGAATCAAGAAACATAGAGATACTATTCCACCCTTACATGCTTCGGCTAGGCTTGGTCTACCGGTCTACACATTGGTCACTACATGACCTCATGGACATTTAGAAAAGCCCTCGGCGGAAACACCGAATCAAGGATAGCTTTGTTAACAATTCCCTGTAATAGTGTGTTACAGAACATCCACTTGTAGGGCAGACCAAAAAAAATGGTTTGATTATTGCAATGAATTATCATCCAAATCAAATAAAGTCAGTTTATACAGTAAACCCCATGTTCAAAACACCCATATATGGAGGTTTCCTAAAATGGGGGTACCCGCAATCATCCAAATCATAGACTCATTATAGACCATTTAGTATTGAAACTTGAAACCCAATTTGACTTGGGGATCCCCATTTTAAGAAACCCCCATATGCCAAGCATCGTTTCTGATGCCCGGCGCCGCGGACCTTGGCTTCCCCGACAAAGGACTCAGGGCTCAGCTGCTCTGCTGAGACCTGTCTGAGCAGCGATTTTCCAAGGCGCCTTTATTCCCAAGCCATGACAAAGCAGTCAAAGTTATGTCCAAGATGGTCCAAGTATGTTCAAGAATACATCATTCCTCCATTCATGGTCAATCTTTTGGCAGTCCAAAAACAACTAATCTTGTTCTGGATAAAGGATTAAACTACCCATCCATTCAGTTGGGGATGGCAACATCATCTAAACAGTATCTAATAGTATCTATCCCCATTCTATCACATGATGATATCCCGCATTGTCCCATAATTCCTCATGTTTCCTCCATTTTCTCAACAGTCCAGGTGTCTCCAAATGCCCGCAGCACACCCGCTGGACAGTTGTCTTCATGCGTCGACCTGCGGACGACCCCTGATGTGGTATCGGAACTACGACTTTTTCGGATTACCCTTTGTTGAAGCTGCATTCCAAGTGACTCAATGTCGATGTAACGCTTGAAATGTGCAACTATGAAAACATATAGTACTGTAGGGCTTGTTTTCTGCATTGTTTTTCTCGGAGCGTTTATATGCGTTTATTACATAGGGAAATCATGGGAAATCCTTAGCAGTATTTGCGGGGGTTTGGTCCCTAAGTGTGGGCTTTGCAACTGCAAAAGTAGCCATTGGGAGTCCAAGCGCCTGGGTAAACTCTTGTGTTTGAGGCGTTTTTTGTTTTCCAGAGGCGTTTTTAACCCACCAGAGGCACAACACAACTCATGCGGCGTTATTTTCTGCCTCGGGGGCCTGAGGCACTTCCTGTTTTGCCTCTGGTGTTTCTAGGTATACGTATGATGCTCTCCATCATTGACCTGTGTTTTATTATGTGCTTACCCTCTGGTAAACTAACATAGCTATGGAAAATCACTATTTTTAATGGGTAAATCCACTATAAATGGCCATTTTCAATAGCTATGTTAGTTCACCAGAGGGTAAGTTATTCTTAAGAAGGATTCTTCATCACTCAACAAACCAAGTCTCTCAAAACCACTGTGGATGCACCAAATCGAAGCCTCAGGCCCTGCCATGTCTCAACGATACTTGCGATTGGTGGGGGACGCCGTAGTTCACAAATTTGATACATTAACTCTTTAATGTAACTATGGCAACTCTGTGGTTTCTGGATTTGTGGATGTTCATGGATGTTTATGGACCAATTTAAGGATGTTTGTGGTAGAAACAAATCATGATTCGATATATTCTGATCATGTGTGATATTTACCCTCTGGTGATTTAACGTAGCCATGTTATCATCACCTTGCGCCACCGCACTGTCAGACCTGGATCGGTTGGTCACCATGTGGTCAGCGAAAAATGGTCCACTTCTAGGATCTTTGGGGAATTCTATGGGGTATCTATTGAATGTATGGGAATTCTATAGGATATCTGTGGACATTTTGGGATGCTTATGATAAGTAGTAGCCCACCATATATGTATATATATATATATAATTACATCTCCATCTAAGCTCATTGTCACATGCAAATCTTACAGATCTGCTAAGCCAAGCTGCGATATGTGCCTCATCCTCCCAGATGTGAAAACGGCAGTCATTGAGTCTTCAGGACAAGTTTCAAGTCAGAATGATGGCTTGAACATGCTTGAACTATGACGAAGTATGTGACCATAGTACATCTACAGCAAGAACAAATTGAACTGAGAGCTTCTCACTCATCATGAGTTGGGTATGGGCTAAGACCCGGTACCTTGGTGATCAACATTGAAGAGGTGATAATTTGATGTTTATCTCTCCCAAATATCCTAAACAATCCCCAGTTGTGACATCTTCAATTTTCAACCGCATCTGCGGCGGGATTGCACTGAATTAGGCCCATCACAAGGCTGAACTCGGAGCCATTGATGCACTTTGTTTCCATTTCTGTTTCAATGGGCATACAGCGCGTCTAGAGGCAGCCCCCAAAATAATTAGGTACGACCTGATATGTCAGTTGTATAGTTTCCAGGTTTCCAGCTTTCCGCTGTCTTTTGAGTTTATCTCCTCTCCATCACAGTCCATTGTTCTCAAGATTGAAGTTGCAACAAGCATGAGGCTCTGAAGCTCCCAATGTGAAAATGCAGCTTCAGAGCTAATGGACAAGTTGCCTACTCCCTGAATTTCAATATTGAAGGAGGACAATCTTGCACAATGTCTTCTGATATTAAAAGGATAGCAACCCAGAGTTCGACTTGCAAAGAGCTGTCGAATTGAGCGTGCGACCTCTGCATCAAAGCATCTGCAAATCATTGATCGTCGCGTTGATGTTGTGTTCCGCGGCATGTTTCCAGCTCACAAAGTTTTTGAGGTCACGCGTCCAGCAATGCTCAACCCCCTCCCATGATGTCTTCTGATGATCTTCCTGAGTTCTGGCCAATCCCCCCAAATGCCCTTTTCATGATTTTACTCCATGCGTGTAATTAATGACAATCAAAAACTAAGACCCTGAAAACCACAGACTTATATCAGACCTTTTATACAGTGGTGAAACATCAGCATATCCTTGAAGACTTAATTAATGTTTCTTCCGAAAATCTCCCATGTTGTGTCAACACTGCCTGGATGCTACGGAGATCCTCAATATACGCATCAACCTCGTTTCTTCCCCTAAGAGTTTGCATGATTTGGTGCTTTCACCATCATGAACTTTTGCCATTTTGACAATTTTTTACGGTTGTCTTTTGCAGGACTTTCAGTTTCTCATAATAACACATAAATTCACACTAGTTGGCCCCCCCACCCCAGCAATTTCACATAAATTGGGGATGTGCCCCAGTTTTCAGACACAGCCATTTGCTAGTATTACTTGTTTAGTTCCTATGTGTTCCTATGCATTTATAGTTAATGTCTCTGTCCTCAAGAGGACAAACAAACTTTTCCAGGATGTTAAAACTGATGATTTCCCCGAAATTTTCCCCCACTTTGAACCTTTAAGGTGGTGTCCCTGGTTGGCACAGTTGGTTTCAAACTACTTTAACGAGGATTTATGGTAGATATAATGGTGAATGGTGTTTATAAACTAACTTATCATTGGGGGGTACCAGCTTGTAGAATTATCAACCTTTCAATAACATGCCAAGTTTGTGTGAGGATGGTTTGACCTATACATATTCTAATATGTATATATATATAGTATATTTACCAACATTTGCCATACAAATCACCCAAATGTAGGTAAATATACCATACATGGAGCATATGGGATATATATATAATATTCTAATCTATCTAATCCAGGATGACGATGTTTCTATGTGATCCGTGACCCCCCATGACGACAGCCATAACTCCCCTCGCTACGCCACGGTGAACGGCCGATGCGGAGGATTTGGGCGCCGCTGAGGCGTCTCAGAGGGAGCCGCCTCCTGGTGTTCTGCATGGCATTCTTGATGACTATATAGACTCTGAAGAACATTAATTATATGACATGAATATTATTATATATATATATATTCTATATATATATAATCACAATATATAAGATGATGTTTCAAAATTTAATGAACCATCTACGTATTCTAAACATCGGTGAGTTTTTTTAGTTCATGATTTCGGTCCGTAAGTTTTCACCACTTGGGTCCTCCCTGCCGGCGCTGAGAAGACAAAGGCTGTCTATCATTATTTGGGGATGGGAGTATTAGTATAAACCACTATTATAAAACCATATGTGTAAGTTGCGATCTGAATTTTGGGACGTTTCGTCAGTTTATCATGAGATATCATGAGTTGTCTTGTTTGTTGCAAACAAATAATCAAGATAGAATATACACATCTTTACACATACTAAATGTATCTAAATGTTAGGTAAAATTAACCATGCTGTTATACTATATGTACTGTTTGCAGCTTTGAAAGAGGATCTGTGATTTTGCAACAAACGGATCACAAGTACATGCTGGGTACCATGTCCTCTTGGTTTACTCAGATGTAGGGATTGAATTGATAGATTGAGGTGCTTGACATCGAAAAGCAGGTTGGCCGCTAGAGCTACTGATGCTGACCTATTCCAGGGCTTAAAGTGTCCGTGGCATGGAGTCATTCTACCTGCACAAGCAAGGATGTTGAGCAAAATGGGTTTCTTGCTGACCTCTTTCGGATGCCGAGTTGTGCAATCGATCGCGAACCATATCGGGAAAAAAAAAGACAGCCCCCGCCCAACATCGAGAATACTTGGGATCCCAAGTAAAAGTTGGTGACATAACCAGCACTCACAGATGAAAACGACCAACCAACCCCACCACCGTCAATACGCACCTGACTCTTTTTTGGGGAACGTCCGCAGGCGCTGTCTGAGCCACCTCTGCCAGGAGCCCATCAGCATCATCTTTGATGGGATTTCACCGTTAAAATGATGGGTTTAAGATACAAAATGGAGGATTGACCAGTAAAAATGGGGATTGAACCACCAAACATTGGGAATCATTGGAATGTATACAATACCTTCTGGCAATCTCCCAAAAACGTCGGCTTCAACCAATTCCCATGTTAAGAACATGGAGAAACATGGGCCATGGCCAGATTGCTGGAGGGTATGGTGATATGAGTCATATCCTGAGCATCTATGGCATCTATGGCTCCTGAGTCAAGGGGATATTGTTACATTTCTACTGGGGGAATAATAACTGATGAATACAAAACGATTGAAATCTACGGGTGCTGGGCCAGCACTGAGTACACCCAACAAGGTACTACCAAAACAAACCAGACCTTCCAGGTTCTATTTTTTTAATGAGTTTATTAGGGCTTACATGGGCTTACTAAAGCCCCAGGCTTCCAGATAGGTTTTTTCACCCCAGGGCTCCCTCAAACTCCCAGATTCCCAGGATTTCCCAGGTGCCTTCACCCCAAAGCCTGTGCTCTTCACTTTCGGACCTGGAGGCTGTGCTCTTCTGGGGGAACATGGCCATGGAAAATCCACAGATGCCGTGCTACTTTCCAATGAATTATGCAATTTACAGGTATCCACTGGTTTCCACAGACAATTTTTCTTGTCAATGATATACCTCATGTTTGAGTACTTAAGTAGTTCACTATCCATTTTTTTGAGGTACGATACGGTGACTTGATACTGTCAGGTAGATCACTTTGCCATCCGAAAAGTACAAATACATGTTCTCCATCGGGCGAAGTACTCAAACCATCGATGCGCGTACATTGAATTGTGACTTGTACATATACCCTCTGGTTATTTAACATAGCCATGGAAAATGGCCAATTTATAGATGGTTTACCTATTAAAAATGGTGATTTTCCATGGCTATGTTAGTCATAACCAGATGGTACCTCTGAAATAGCAGCACAACGGACGCTATGGATTCTAATTGCTTCATTTGGGGGTCAACCTGCTCCATCAATGAAGATACCTTATCCCATTCCACTGGTTGCTAGTGCTCTTATCATCCGTTCACAATCGAAATCAATCCAGGTGGTATTGTATCTACCACTACCTTTTTTAAAGCCAACCATCAACCAACCCATCATCTTTCAAGTCTTTTCTGCAGTAATCCCGGTTTTTGCCGGCTAAAGTCGCTCAAGTCCATAATGTATATTATATTTTATCATAATATATATATAAATATATATACATATATATATATACATATATATATACATATATGTGTGTGTGTGTCGTATGCACATGTTATACTGTATATTATATGTGTATGATATGTGAATGAACCCCACTCGTCACCTTCTAGAAGAGCTGCAAGTTTCGGGCGTTGCCTTCACAGGAAATTTGGGAGATGGGATGGTGAAAACAAAAGTAGATTTTGATTGATAATGATTTATAATATTTAGTTGATTATCTAATTTAGTTGATTATCTAATTTTGATTATCTATTCTAATTTTATAATTCACTAATGATTGATTATCTAATTTAGTGAGTTTATGGATTTATCTACTTTGATTATAATCTAACTTTATAATGATTATAATATTTAATTGAGTATTAATGTTTATTAATATCAAATAACCATAACGTTTGAAATTCAGATTTAGTGTTTCCGTGGGATGTTACTGGATATATTTGATGTGATATAGCATGATATAGTAAATCTCTAAAACCAGGCTATATGTGATATAGTTACATAATGGGTGGGACATACCCTCTTCTAATCTAACATAGCTATGGAAATGGGTCGTCTGTGGATGAATTACCTATTCAAAATGGATCAAAATGATGGTTTTCCATAGCTAGGTTAGAGATTGCCAGAGCGTAATTAAAGGCAGAACATATGTTGCCAACTGATTTCTGATATGGACGTACTGTGACAAACCTGAAACCCTAACCTTAGGGGTCTAGAAACAAAAGTCCGTATCCCTTCCAGTTTGATGCTGATTTATTGCCTGATTTTAATTTCTTGACATTTTGGTAATGCATGGAATGTTTAAGGCCAAACTTAGGGGATCCCAGAAATGCATGGTCGAACTCAGTTTGTTCATGTTAGTGAAAAGAAATCACGAAGAAGTGTGGATTAGCAATGCACAAAATATTCCCCTTTTTTGTTTTTCTTGCAGTACAACCACCAAAACTACCAATTGTGCGGTAGAAGCAACATGTGGCAGTGTTACAAAGTTCTCAAGGAGGGCCGAATAAAAAGATCAATCTTTGCAAACTGTTTCCAGTTTCTGGTGGATAAAGCACCGGAGAGAAATATCAAATCACTATGGATCAAAACAGTGCTACCCTGGACTTAACATGATAATCGCTGGTACATACAGAAGTTAACCCTCACCAGAAGATGTAGTTTGCAAGGCTTCGGCCCCTATTTTTGATGGTGATGCATGGTCATTGACTATGCCTTATCTTTCATGGTACCACCATCTGTCCACCTAGTCCCGATTTCTTCCAATTAGAAAACACATATTTACCCCGAAGAGTTTTACTATGTTTATCATCCTTTACCTATCCTTATGCCATGAATTATGAGTCAACTGACTGAGGATCAAGGCGCATGGACACCACGACCAGAGTTCGAGTCGACGCAGCGCCGTCTATGCCTTGGAACTTCTTCGACCTGGCTTTTGCATCTGCCTGGTTTCGAGACAGCGGAAATTCTCTCTCTCTCTCTCTCTCTGATCAAGAGTGTGTGTGTGTGTTTCTTTCTTTTCAAAAATACTGCTTGTGATGTTCAGTGATGTTGAGTGATGTTGATTGATGTTGACTGTTGACTGATGGTTTATGTTGATTGTATTGATTAGTCTTTGTTGATTTAATTGTAAAAACACAAGCTCTGTCTGGGCAGTCTGGGCCTTTCTTTTTCACAAAACCTAGACGGACTTGTCTGAACATATGGTGTGCATATATATATATGTATATATATATTATATACATCAACTTTGATGGCTTATTATGATCCATTTGCCCTATCCAAATGGCCACATGTCGGGGCATGTCTTATTTTTGTTGCCTTGACCTTCAGTAAGAATGGGTGGGAGTACCAACATTCTCTGGTAGAATAAACATGGCCATCTTCAAATCGAAGGTCTTAGTCGCCACAGTTTTGCATGTTTACTTGTTGAATCATTTGTCTTTGGATGGTACAATTTTAGATCTGTTCCATGCTGGTAATTCTAAAGTTGGAAGCCTGATAGGGTTTGCCCAGTTTGCCCCCCTAGTTGTTTGTAAGGAGTGTGTAAGGTGTAAGCAGCTACCCAGATCCCCTATAGAAGATGGACAACCAAACCTTCCCACCGCTTGTTTCACCCATGGACACGGGATGTGTAGGTCCAGTTCCACGCACTGAACCATGGCATCATGGCATCATGGCATCATGGCATCATGTTTTTCGATTTTAGAGGTTACCAGGTAGCTGGAAAAAGGATGAAAAAGCTACCCCCCAGAAAGAAAAAAATAAACCGAATTCCACGGATTCCACCTCTGAAGGCTAAGAGCCATCTGACCTGACATCAACAGCAGCTCTTTACGGAATGTGAACATCAGGGGATCAGGATTAATGGTTTTGACCCATATAGACATAGATATCATATGAAATATATTCAAATATCATGTGCAAATCGATGCGAGATCCATTTTCAAATGGTAGGGGCCTGTAGATTCTACAAGGGCATTATTTGTACAAGACGAGTGCCCATTGACATCCCTGACCCGTGGATTTGTTCACAAACCTTGCCGTGGCTGCTGGATTCCTGATGAAAGAACTGCCAGTGGCCGAGCACTAATGGAAGCACCTACCTTTCCAACATTACCCAGTCACCTGGAAGATTGGTCTGAGTCATGGGCTTGTCTGAAAATAGCCCACCCCCTGTTTAACATGGTGAATCATAAGTTCCCCATGAAACGGTCACGGTTAGTGGGGTTAAGTCTCAATTTTCAGCCCCAAATCAACAAATCCACGGGAATCCAACCGAGGTTTTCAATGGCGACTCAAGGCATGGTGATCTAAACCCCCATACCCGGCCTGGTAAACGTTTACATGGCCATGGAAAATCAGCATTTTTAATAGGTCAACCATCTATAAATTGGCCATTTTCCATGGCTATGTTAAATAACCAGAGGGTAAGTTGGGACATGAGGCCCCTAACTCCAAAAATCTGGTCTGTTGATATGTCAATTCTCCCTGACTTCTCCAAATGAATGGATGCAGTTCCAGACAAGTGGGTAGCACCACAAGCCACACCCGTTCATCTGGAGAGGTCAGGAAGGAGAATTCCCTTGAGACTTGGGCCAGTTGGGTCCCTAAACAAAACCACTAAAATCAGCGAACATCTACAAACTGCGAGTTTCATATAGTCAACGAATGGACATATTTTTTTTCCACTACACAAAATGGAAAAAACGTTGGACCGGTTGGAGACTCGTAACGGTTGGGGCCGTTCTCCCAGTCTCCCATCGTTGTCAGGTGACGCCAGTAGTCCAATTCGCTACGCAAACGTTCCACGCTGTCGACCCGTGGCGGACTTGGCCTCGGGGACGACGCTGTTCCGGGGGAGACCAGGAAAGGCTCAATAAAAATGGGCATGTAACCATTATTATACAATCATATAACCATATACAACCGTTAGTACTTACCATTAATTAATACATACATTATATATATATTATGATGAATAAAACAATTATATAGCCATTATACAACCATTATACAAAGAACATGTATAATAAAATCAAATCAGAAACATATAATATGTGTTTTTCCCCTTGCGGTTGCTAAAGAAGATATGGTGAGACGTGTCAATCCTTGCAAGAGAGATTGGTACCCTTTTGAAAGGCGTGCTTCACTTGTGGCTGGTCGCTGGTCAATGTGATACCACTGAAAAAACATGGTCGGAAACTCCTTAACCATCCTTAACTTCAATATTGAGGTTACTTCCTAACCCCAAAAAAATCACCCATACTTGAATCAAACTAAACATATGGGACGTTTGAACCCTGCCAAGGTTTGAAGACTTTGGATCCTCAGAAACGGCACGAATTTGAACAACAACCGTAAGTTGGGATTTATGCTGTGTTTCTGTTCCAGAAAATATGTGAGCCCACACCCCTTAAATCAATTTAGAATACCTTAAATCAAAACTATATACTAAAACAATGCTGAAAGCAAGGCATATTATATATATAGATACACATATCATCTAATATGTAATTAGTTGTATATATATAATTATATACATATCATCTAATATGTAATTAGTTATATATATATATAATTATATACATATCCCATGGACAATAATGAGCTTTTATAAAATGCTAGTTTTGCACTTGTGCATTCTCCAGCCAACCACTGCCACCACCTTGCAGGGACCCCAAACGGGCAAGAGCCGCCACTGGGCACGTCCACTAACCTGTGGATCTGTGGGATGGTACCCTCTGGTAAACATACAAAAAGCTATTGAAAATGGCCATAGAAATAGTGGATTTACCGCTTAAAAATTGTGATTTTCCATAGTTATGTTAGTTTACCAGAGGGTAACATCAATGAAGTCACAATTCGTTGCCAAACAAATCATGCTAGTTCTAGATTGGCTTTAGAGACACTTCAATGGAAACTGCTTCAGCTTTCCTCCATCGTTTCCCTTCAAGTCTGGTAAAACCACTGCTTTCGGTGTTCTCAGACATGGACAGACGGATAGAGCAGATTTAAGGCTTTTGTATCTGGTCCTAAATATTGCCCATGAATTGTGGCCGTGTCAGCGATACGGCGATACGGGTATGGTGGCCATGAAATGCCATGAACGGGGTGCGTTCATGCGCCCGCACAGTTGATCAAACTTTTTAGTAGCAACTAATCATCAAACTACCCTCTGGTAAATAAACATAGACCCTGAAAATCACCAATTTTTAATGGAAACTAGTCTTCCAACCCCGACAACTGCCAGGGTCTATGTTAATTTACCAGAGGGTATCCAATCATTTGGGTCACTGAATTCGAGCCATGTGAGCTGACAATAGTACACGTTTTTGCGGACGTCTGTGGTTTCAACCCATCCCCATATAAAAAATACACACGTCATGGATAAAGAAAAAAGAAAAACAACCTGGTACCATCGGTACCTAAATGATCTTCTGTTTGGGGTTTTCACCTCCATTTTTGAGTGTCAAGCAGCTCAGTCGGGCTCACTTTTTGACATGTTTACCATCTTCAATTGCGCAAGCTGCTGCTTAGAATGATCCTTTTTGACTTTACTGTCGGCCATTTCTATCAATGACCTATCAAACAGTTGTGGTGTTTTCGCCTTCGCCCCCGGATGACGAGATCCAGTCTCACTTGTCAAGGCAAAGAAAACCTTCACATTGTCCCGTTTTTGTGCATTTGAGATATGTGTAAGGCAAACAAATAAACACGTCCCCAGCATGACCCGAAGGTGTCCAGGAAAATGTTTTGTTCAGAAAATTATTGACTTGTGATATCCATATGAATTCAATGGATTTCCAGTATATCATGGGACAAATATATGATATTTGTTTATTCCACAAAGTGTATATGCGTGTGTCTGAAAATGGATTAGAACCATGGGGAACACTTGGGGTACATCCCAAACACTTGCAATTTACCAAATCCATATCTTCACATATATAGTTTTCAACCCAAATAAAATAAACAAGATAGAGTCCCAGCAGTCCCCACGTCCGCGACCTTGAGGTGGCATCAACATCCAATGCTACTACCTGGGTATTTCCATGGTGAAGCAGTGTGTATTTCAAACGGGCTTACCACTGATTAATCACCAAAACTTAAAGTGGAACGAGTAATTCTGAATATAGACTATAAATGATTATATATACATATGTTGATTGACATGTAATCATAGATACAAAAATGTATTGTATAATCTGCTGAGGTGAAGATCCTTCAAGATAATGGGATGCCACCACAGTTGTAGCACAGCGAGATGGCCATGTAAGGAGCGGAATCTGTAAACATAATCCGATTCGAGTCATGTTGAAAATCAAAAGTCCAACGAATCCAACATAAAATAGGACAACATATCAGTCTTCACAATACCTTCTTGAACAGGGTCACAGCGCAAATACCAAAATAAACATGTTTTCCCCCTTCCATCTGAAGCATTTTTTAAGTGATCATGGACGCATGTGATACTCCAATCAACAAACACCGAGAAAACCCAAGGATCACACGTCCGGTCATGCCCATGATGGTGCAAACTCTTCACTGTGACCAATAGCAAATCATCGTCTGCAATGGAAATTAAGTATGTATGGTTCTTAAATAGGTTACTTATGAAAGTCTTATTGTCAAGATTGCGATCCCTATCTGTTGAGAACATATCTATCTCTATGGATGCAGTCATACCTTCTGAAGTATGACTGTGGTATGATGACTGTTGAGTCTCTTCTCCGGAATCTATCTGAATCCGGGAGCGTTGCAATCCCATCTATCCGTTCTCTTTATGTGTGCTGGTTGATACCTTGATTCTCACAATGATGAATTGATGGTCCAGCTCTGTGACCGCTGTGACCACGGCCACGCGTACGACTCCCGTCTTTTTGGTTGCTGATCTTTGTTCAACAGGCGCTAAATCTCAAGGTGATGGTCATGTGGGAACTATAATTCCTATGCTCCATGAATAGCAATGTCAACCCCGGATTAATATATAATGATATATCCTGTTGAAATTGTCTACCCCCCTAATGGTGATAATCTGCTCCTAAAATGGTACACCCCCTCCCGACAACAGAGAGGAGAATAGGCCAGATGTTAGTTTATTACCGTTGGGTTGGCATTGCTGTGTATTCGCCAACATATATCCAGACTACATGGCTCAGCAACACACTTGGAGGATCATTCCATAGTAACTGGTGAAAAAGCCTGGTTTTCATGAGTCTCCTAGGGCCAATTATATCTAATTATCCCAGTTATGACTGGCTTTTAACCTCTACTAACACTTACTAACCAGTCATTATGTGGGATGATCCTCCAAGGAAGAGATCCATGGCTACCCATATGGACACCATATCCCCCCTGAGATCCCCTGACATCCTTCCCTCGTTCGCGCACCGCCGCGATCGCCTGGCAGCTTTGTTGTTGACCATGTGGGAATCCGAATCAACCACAACGAAAGATGGTTATTATGGTTATTAACAAATTGTGATTTACCTATGAAAAATGGTGATTTCCCATAGTTATCTGGTTGGTGGTTGCTGCTAACCCCTCTGAAAAATGATGGAAGCCAGTTGGGATGATGATGAAATTCCCAATATATATATATATATATACCTATGCCTTCCTGGTTTTTGGTTTTTGCCTGAAACAGCATTTATTTTGGTCGTTGCTGTAAAAAAACGTTGCTGCCTCCCAAAAACGTTCTTGCTCCAAATGATCAAGAATAGCCAGGATGGAAGGAAACCAACAAATCTGTTGCAGGTGACAGTGATGCCACAGCTGATCAATTGGAAACACAGTGGATTGACATGGTTTGGATGGGTTGTGAGCCCTCGAATTGCAACCTTTCGTACCATTTGACTGTGATTCGGACATTTCAAAAACAACCAAAACTATCCGAAACTGGGGTACGGGTAAAAACGCTTTTGTATCGGGAAGAAACGCTTTTGTCTCGGGAAGAAACGCCTTTGTATTGGTTCAAAGCGCCGTCACCAAAATTGTTTTGCCACGGAGGCCCATCAATAAACGTTAGTTTCAGCACAGAGCTGCTGTGGCTCAATGTTTGCTTTAAAAAAAGTCTGGTGGAGACATCATTTATTTCCACCCGAAAATCGTGAGGGATTTGGATGTCCTTGCACGATGGGACAGTGCTCAAAACGAACAATGGATGTGGATGACAAAAATATTCAAAAATGACAAAAAAGGTCCGAGAGCAGAATTGAAGATAAGTGGTGCAGAAAAGCATTTCTGACAGGAAAAGCAGAAATTAGTAACATGTGAGAAGCCCTAGGTATATATATATATGGAAAAATAATCCATTCATGTTCCAAAGCACCAAGCAGTTATGGTTTCTCTCGGCCTCCTGGGCGTTGTTGACGGCCAGTTGGGCCATGGCCCGGGCTTGCTGCTTGTCTCCAAGCATCTCCTGGGTATGGGCGGAGATTCAAGGGGCTCATGGACCTGGAAAAACATCCAACATAGATCTGGAAAAACGATGGTTTTCCTGGGAAAATGCTGGGGTTTTCCACATCCATGTTGGTTAAAAAAGACAGGAATGTAAATGCTGATCCAACATGGCTCGGATTTCCCCTCAATGGGGATCAACAAAACGCCAAGAGTCAGCCCTGGAAGTGGCTCTGATTCACTTATAAATGAATATAGAAAACATATGAAATAATGAATTATTTGAAATAGGGTAATCATATGAATCTAGAAATCACTTATTATAGTAATCATATCCGCCGACCCCTGCCTTAGCCAAGGCAGGGGCGGCGCCTGGGACCACCGCAGGTGTGGAACTTTTTTTCGTTCCCAATGCTTTGCACTTTCCACGAGCCACCCAGGCCATAGCACCCTCTGTTCACCGCCCAGGAGCCACTCAGGCCACAGCAATTTCTGCGCACTTCCACTCATGCCACAGCAATCTCTGTTTCTACGGCGTTCCAAAACGCAACAGGCCGCGGCAGACCCTGTGCAGTTCCAACAAGTCCCTGAGGCCGTGGCAGTAAAGAGGTTCAAGGCTGCCGTTTGCCAGCCTTCAAAACTCGCCAAAACTACCCAAGCCCTCCCCTGCAGCTCCCAGGCGCCACTCAGGCCGCGGCAGACCTTTCCTGCAGCTCCAACAAGTCCCTGAGCCGTGGCAGTGTCCTTTTAAGGAGGTTCAAGGCTGCCGTTTGCCAGCCCTCAAAACTCCCCAAACCCTTCCCTGCAGCTCCCAGGCGCCACTCAGGCCGCGGCAGACCTTTCCTGCAGCTCCAACAAGTCCCTGAGCGTCTTTTTATGGACGTTCAAGGCTGCCGTTTGCCAGCCCTCAAAACTCCCCAAACCCTTCCCTGCAGCTCCCAGGCGCGACTCAGGCCGCGGCAGACCTTTCCTGCAGCTCCAACAAGTCCCTGAGGCCGTGCCAGCGTCTTTTTATGGACGTTCAAGGCTGCCGTTTACCAGCCCTCAAAACTCCCCAAACCCTTCCCTGCAGCTCCCAGGCGCCACTCAGGCCGCGGCAGACCTTTCCTGCAGCTCCAACAAGTCCCTGAGGCCGTTGTCCTTTTAAGGAGGTTCAAGGCTGCCGTTTGCCAGCCCTCAAAACTCCCCAAACCCTTCCCTGCAGCTCCCAGGCGCCACTCAGGCCGCGGCAGACCTTTCCTGCAGCTCCAACAAGTCCCTGAGCCGTGGCAGTGTCCTTTTAAGGAGGTTCAAGGCTGCCGTTTGCCAGCCCTCAAAACTCCCCAAACCCTTCCCTGCAGCTCCCAGGCGCCACTCAGGCCGCGGCAGACCTTTCCTGCAGCTCCAACAAGTCCCTGAGGTCCTTTTAAGGAGGTTCAAGGCTGCCGTTTGCCAGCCTTCAAAACTTTCAAACCCTCCCATGCAGCTCCCAGGCGCCACTCAGGCCGCGGCAGACCTTTCCTGCAGCTCCAACAAGTCCCTGAGGCCGTGGCAGCGTCTTTTTATGGACGTTCAAGGCTGCCGTTTGCCAGCCCTCAAAACTCCCCAAACCCTCCCCTGCAGCTCCCACGCGCCACTCAGGCCGCGGCAGACCTTTCCTGCAGCTCCAACAAGTCCCTGAGGCCATGGCAGTGTCCTTTTAAGGACGTTCAAGGCTGCCGTTTGCCAGCCCGCAAAACTCGCCAAACCCTCCCCTGCAGCTCCCAGGCGCCACTCAGGCCGCGGCAGACCTTTCCTGCAGCTCCAACAAGTCCCTGAGGCCCTGGCAGCGTCTTTTTATGGACGTTCAAGGCTGCCGTTTGCCAGCCCGCAAAACTCCCCAAACCCTCCCTGCAGCTCCCACGCGCCACTCAGGCCGCGGCAGACCTTTCCTGCAGCTCCAACAAGTCCCTGAGGCCGTGGCAGTGTCCTTTTAAGGAGGTTCAAGGCTGCCGTTTGCCAGCCCTCAAAACTCCCCAAACCTTTCCCTGCAGCTCCCAGGCGCCACTCAGGCCGCGGCAGACCTTTCCTGCAGCTCCAACAAGTCCCTGAGGCCGTGGCAGTGCCCCTTAAGGGGTGGTTCAAGGCTGTCGTTTGCCAGCCTTCAAAACTCCCCAAACCCTCCCCTGCAGCTCCCAGGCGCCACTCAGGCCGCGGCACACCTTTCCTGCAGCTCTCACAAGTCCGTGGCAGCGTCTTTTTATGGACGTTCAAGGCTGCCGTTTGCCAGCCTTCAAAACTCCCCAAACCCTCCCCTGCAGCTCCCAGGCGCCACTCAGGCCGCGGCAGACCTTTCCCGCAGCTCTAACAAGTCCGTGGCAGCGTCTTTTTATGGACGTTCAAGGCTGCCGTTTGCCAGCCCGCAAAACTCGCCAAACCCTCCCCTGCAGCTCCCAGGCGCCACTCAGGCCGCGGCAGACCTTTCCTGCAGCTCCAACAAGTCCCTGAGGCCCTGGCAGTGTCCTTTTAAGGACGTTCAAGGGTGCCGTTTGCCAGCCCGACAAACTCGCCAAACCCTACCCTGCAGCTACCCAGGCGCCACTCAGGCCGCGGCAGACCTTTCCCGCAGCTCCAACAAGTTCCTGAGGCCCTGGCAGTGTCCTTTTAAGGATGTTCAAGGCTGCCGTTTGCCAGCCCGCACAAAACCCCCAAACCCTCCATGCAGCTCACCAGGCGCCACTCAGGCCGCGGCCCAGACTTTCCTGCAGCTCTTCTCTCAAAAAGTCCCTGAGGCAGTGGCACGCGCTTTTATGGACGTTCAAGGCTGCCGCTTGCCAGCCCGCAACAAAACTCCCCCACCCTCCCCTGCAGCTCCCAGGCGCCACTTAGGCCGCGGCAGACCTTTCCTGCAGCTCCAACAAGTCCCTGAGGCCCTGCCAGTGTCCTTTTAAGGAGGTTCAAGGCTGCCGTTTGCCAGCCCGCAAAACTCTCCAAACCCTCCCCTGCAGCTCCCAGGCGCCACTTAGGCCGCGGCAGACCTTTCCTGCAGCTCCAACAAGTCCCTGAGGCCCTGGCAGTGTCCTTTTAAGGAGGTTCAAGGCTGCCGTTTGCCAGCCCGCAAAACTCGCCAAACCCTCCCCTACAGCTCCCAGGCGCCACTCAGGCCGCGGCAGACCTTTCCTGCAGCTCCAACAAGTCCCTGAGTCCGTGGCAGTGTCCTTTTAAGGAGGTTCAAGGCTGGTTTGCCAGCCTTCAAAACTCGCCAAAACTCCCCAAACCTCCCCTGCAGCTCCCAGGCGCCACTCAGGCCGCGGCAGACCTTTCCTGCAGCTCCAACAAGTCCCTGAGGCCGTTGTCCTTTTAAGGAGGTTCAAGGCTGCCGTTTGCCAGCCCTCAAAACTCCCCAAACCCTTCCCTGCAGCTCCCAGGCGCCACTCAGGCCGCGGCAGACCTTTCCTGCAGCTCTCACAAGTCCCTGAGGCCGTGGCAGTGTCTTTTTATGGACGTTCAAGGCTGCCGTTTGCCAGCCTTCAAAACTCCCCAAACCCTCCCCTGCAGCTCCCAGGCGCCACTCAGGCCGCGGCAGACCTTTCCTGCAGCTCTAACAAGTCCGTGGCAGCGTCTTTTTATGGACGTTCAAGGCTGCCGTTTGCCAGCCCTCAAAACTCCCCAAACCCTCCCCTGCAGCTCCCAGGCGCCACTCAGGCCGCGGCAGACCTTTCCTGCAGCTCCAACAAGTCCCTGAGGCCGTGGCAGTGTCCTTTTAAGGAGGTTCAAGGCTGCCGTTTGCCAGCCCTCAAAACTCCCCAAACCCTCCCCTGCAGCTCCCAGGCGCCACTCAGGCCGCGGCAGACCTTTCCTGCAGCTCCAACAACTGGCCGCCGTTTAAGAGATCCACATTTTTCCCCCTTGTGTTGTCAGGAGTTAACCAGCAAATTTGTAGAAGTAAAATGATCGTAGTAGTAGTAGTCAGTAGTCAGTAGTCAGTAGTCAGTAGTAGTAGTAGTAGTAGTAGTAGTAGTAGTACTAGTAGTAGTAGTAGTAGCAGTAGTAATAGTAGTAGTAATAATAGTAGTAGTAGCAGTAGTAGTAGTAGTAGTAGTAGGTAGTAGGTAGTAGGTAGTAGGTAGTAGGTAGTAGGTAGTAGGTAGTAGGTAGTAGGTAGTAGGTAGTAGGTAGTAGGTAGTAGGTAGTAGGTAGTAGGTAGTAGGTAGTAGGTAGTAGGTAGAAGGTAGTAGGTAGTAGGTAGTAGGTAGTAGGTAGTAGGTAGTAGGTAGTAGGTAGTAGGTAGTAGGTAGTAGGTAGTAGGTAGTAGGTAGTAGGTCGTAGGTAGTAGGTAGTAGGTCGTAGGTCGTAGGTCGTAGGTCGTAGGTAGTAGGTAGTAGGTAGTAGGTAGTAGGTAGTAGGTAGTAGGTAGTAGGTAGTAGGTAGTAGGTAGTAGGTAGTAGGTAGTAGGTAGTAGGTAGTAGGTAGTAGGTAGTAGGTAGTAGGTAGTAGGTAGTAGATAGTAGGTAGTAGGTAGTAGGTAGTAGGTAGTAGGTAGTAGGTAGTAGGTAGTAGGTAGTAGGTAGTAGGTAGTTGGTAGTAGGTAGTAGGTAGTAGGTAGTAGGTAGTAGGTAGTAGGTAGTAGGTAGTAGGTAGTAGGTAGTAGGTAGTAGGTAGTAGGTAGTGGTAGTGGTAGTGGTAGTCGTAGTCGTAGTCGTAGTAGTAGTAGTAGTAGTAGTAGTAGTAGTAGTGGTAGTAGTAGTAGTAGTAGAGTAGTAGTCAGTAAGTAATAAGTAGTAAGTCAGTAAGTCAAAGTAGTAAGTCGCAAGTAGTAAGTCGCAAGTAGTAAGTCGCAAGTAGTAGGTAGGTAGGTAGTTAGGTAGGTAGGTAGGTAGGTAGGTAGGTAGGTAGGTAGGTATAGGTAGGTATAGGTAGGTATAGGTAGGTATAGGTAGGTATAGGTAGGTATAGGTAGGTATAGGTAGGTATAGGTAGGTAGGTAGGTAGGTAGGTATAGGTAGGTAGGTAGGTAGGTAGGTAGGTAGGTCGGTAGTGGGTAGTCAGTAGTTAGTAGATAGTA